CTGAGTCACCGAAGGTGATCCTCCTATGGATGGCCCACAGGAGCCGGAAGACACAAGCCTCCAGAAATGACGCATGGCTGCACTCGGGGAGTGATGGATTATCAGTGACTCCTCCTCCTCCTTACCCCCTCTTACTTCCCTTACTTCTCTAAAGAGCATATGTCCTGCCTTTTTTTTTTTTAAGATTTTATTTATTTTTTCCTGAGAGACACAGAGAGAGGGGCAGAGACACAGGCAGAGGGAGAAGCAGGCTCCCTGCAGGAGCCTAAGGCAGGACTCGATCCCAGGACCCCAGGATCACGACCTGAGCTGAAGGCAGACGCTCCACCACTGAGCCACCAGGTGTCCCATATGTGTCTTTTTAAATAAAATTTTTTTGAAAGAAAGGAAAGACAGCCATTTCAAAGGACCTGGAGAGTTGTCACAAGAACGTGGTCCAGCTTCTGTGTCATGCTTGTGGGAACGGAAACCCTTTTGCCCTTACACCCTGTCTGGCAGCAGCACCTCCCAGTGGGGCTGTCACCCCAAAGCCCCACAGACTGCATGTGGTCTGGTGGCAGGGTGGGGCCTAGACAACAGACTTCTTTCCTCACAGCTCTGGCTCCAGAGGCTGGGGGTTCAGATTGCTCCTGAGGCCTGGCTCCTGGGCTTGCAGGCGGCCGGCCTCTCCCTGTGTCTTCACCGTTCCCCTCAGCCCGGTGTGTGCCTGTGTCCCCTTCTTATAAGGACGTGGTCACACTAGATGAGGACCACCCTAGTGACATCACACTAATTTCATCACCTCCGCAAGGACCCTATCTCCAAATACAGTCACATTCTGAGGTCCTGCAGGTTAGGACTACCACAGATAAATTTGGGGGGGGGCACACTCAGCCCACAGCATGGGGGTACAGATAAATGTCCCCAGATCAGTCCTTTATTTTTCCTGTTGCTACGGGAGGGATCAGAACATTAGAACCCGCCTGATTTTGACACAAAGATGCTGGACGGAGAGCACACGCATGCCCGCTTAGAGCCCTGGACCCCCAGCCCCACCCCCAGAGTCAGGAAGAAGGGCTGGCCTGGAATCCCATACAAACACACGGGGCACAGCATCTGCCCCTGCAGCTACCTGCGTGCCTACATGCATGCACGTCACACACCACACACCACACACATATCACAGCCACACAGACACACACCACAGAGCACACACAGAGGCACACATGTATACACACACACACACACACACACACACACACACCACAGACATGCACGCACCTCTAATGATCATCCTGGCTGCGCTATGGGATGTGGGTTGTTATGGAGATGGGAGCAGGGAGGAGCTGGGGAAGCAGGGGGTCTAGGAAGAGAGGAGAATGTGAGAAAGCCCATCAGTTGCCTTTGTAACCTCCGCATTGATCCGCGGGCGGGGCTCAAGGCTCCCCTGATGTCAGCAGGTACCTGGGAGCCAAGTGAGCTCTTAAAACCTCTGCAGACCATCCTCTGTGTGCTTCTCCACGCGCACCACCCAGCACAAGGCAAGAAGGGAGAGCCTGCCCGTCACCATTGCCACCACGACCTCCTGTTCCCACAGCCATGGCCGGGGGTGTCCTGCTCCCCTTAATAGCTCCAGCCCACACAGGGACCAATCTCTTCCCTGGTTTCCCCTGAGCATCCCTGAGACAGGATGAGGGTTTCAAGGGAAGGACACACACCCGGGTGGCCGGGAGCCACAGTCACTGCACTCATGGGCTCACCCCTGGCTCACTTCCCTGATCCCAGCCCCAGGCCCACCTAGGACAGCACGGGGTGGGGTGGGGGGTAACCTCGCTCACAGCCCCTCCCACCCTCACCCACTGCAGTTCCTCCCCTCCTGGAGTATCTGTCACCCCAACTTCCCCAGCCAGGACCTGCATCCTGGTCTCCGAGACCATCCTAGGAAAGCCAGGGGTGATCTGGGGCTAGCACCCCGCTTCTCCTCCCTGGTTTCCTTCCATAAAGCCTCCAGGGTCCCTCGTCCAGTGGCAGGACACGCTTGAGGGCAAGTTCGTCACAGTGATAACCACCCTGATTATCGTTTGTGTAGGATGTCACAGCCCCCAGTTGCCTCCTCAGACATGATCCGTTTGGTATTCTCTACAGCTTCCTCTTCAGCATCACTGTACACGTGAAGGAACGGAGGCCCAGGGAGGTGCAGCTAGTAGCTCAAGGTCACACAGTGGCTAAAGCAGCAGTGCTACTGCAGGGACCCTATGTGCCCTTACCACTCTTAGGACCCTTTACCCCTTGGCCTCAGTCTCGGTGGTGAAATTGCACTTAAATGAGAGGCAGGAGGGGGAACAGGGCCACAGGCCCAAGGGCCGGCTCTCAGGAATGGGACTGAGATTCTTTCGAGTTAATACATGTCATATCACAGGGCTGACCTCATAAATATCATTAGCTCCTGCAGCGTCCACCCAGCCCGCCAGCGCCCTGGATGTGATGAACTCTGTATCCTGTTCCCGGCCACAGCAGGTGGAAATAGTGTGAACTCCTGCAATAGCACCAGCGAGATGAACAGCTGAATGCTCGTCTCCTGGCAGAGAGCAGCTCAGAGACTGCTGACCCACACACACTGGCCTCCTCCCCTCCACCAGAGCGGGCTTTGGGAGAGCGCTGGACACTAGGCAGGTGTGGAGACAGACAGACCGGGCTCTGGTCTCTGTGTGCTGTGTGACCTTGGGCATGTGACTTGACATCTCTGAAACTTGGTTTTTCCATCTGTAAAAAGAGGATAATGGGATCCACTTTGGGAATATGTATGTGGTCAGCTGTGTCCAGCTGAGGACCAGGCACAGTAAAGGGACCCGGAGGAGGGAAGAGGTAGCGTCAATGTGGGGATATGGCATCCACCTACCCAGCCAGCTGCCTCACGGCAGTTGTCAGTTAAGAAACCTGGAAGTGGGACAGTATTTGGGGGGCTCAGTGGTTGAGCATCTGCCTTCGGCTCAGGTCGTGATCCCAGGGTCCCAGGATCAAGTCCCACATCGGGCTCCCTGCATGGAGCCTGCTTCTCCCTCTGCCTGTGTCTCTGTCTCTCTCTGTGTGTCTGTCATGAATAAATAAATACAATCTTGAAAAAAAAAAAAGCAAGATAGTAGAGTGGAAAAGGTCAAGGGCTTCGGTGTCAGAGAGACCTGGGTTTAAGACCTAGCCTTGCTTGGTAACCTTAGGAAGTCACATAACCTTTCTTAGCCTGTTCCCTCATTAGCAACACAGGGAAGAAGGCAATGCCTACCTATTAGGGAGTACGAGGACGAAAGCAGGTTATAGTGTACACCGTGCTCAACACGATGCTCAATAAGTGAGTATGATTATTTTCCCAGACCTTAGCCAGGGGTCTCCTTAATGGTCTGTCCTTAAGGCTGTCTCATTCCTGCCTCTCTGAGCTCAGCCATGCCCGTGCCTTCAAGTCCCTGATTACCACCAAAGCACCATGTCCAGCCCCAACCTCTCTCCAGAAGGCACATCACTGGGCATCTCCACCAGAATGTCCTCCGGGCACCCTAGATCCAACACGACGTCCTGGCTGGCCCACCACTCTCTGCGTGATTGGGGTCTGTCACCTTGGCCTTGGTTTCTTCATCTTTACCCGAGCAGGTTGTAGTAGATCATTACGGAGCCTATCTCAGCCCTAACATCCTAGGATTCTCAACTCTGTGTCATCCCCCAGACTCACCACCTTGCACAGCAGCACCACCTTCCTCCAATGAACCTCAGCTTGCAAACTCACAGTCAGCTCAGGGTCATCCATCTTGTTCATCACAGACCTCAAGCCTGGAAGAGTCTCCCTCAAGAGGTTCCCTATCTCTCACTCCTCCCTGTTGCCACTACCCTTGCGCTAATCCAGACCCCTCCATCAGCGCTCACCAGAGGTACAACACACCCAGTCGCTGGCACCAGCTTCCCCATGCAGTCCACCCTCTGCTCTTTCCCTCCATGGAGCCAGTGGTCAACAAGGTACTTGGTGCAGCTTCTCTCCCAAAGAGATTTTGCACAGAGGACAGGCCTCCTTATGTCGGCATCAAGAACTGAACTTCCCTGCAGATAATGTCAGCGCCCTGGAAATTTTTTTTAAGGTTGACGATGAGGATAGGAAATGTTCATGGTATTCATACTAGATACTTGGTAACTATTTGTTAAATTCATTCATTCATTCACTCATTCATTCATGCTTTTCAAGCATGACCTCTTGGATGCCAGACACATCGTGCCAGAGATACCTCTGCAAATCTCATAAAAGCCACAGGTCTTTGCTTTACAAGAGCACATCTGCATGTGATGTTTTGCATATAATTTCAGGGTGTTCTTAGGCCCCCAAACCCACCCACAGAGCAAAGTTTGCCTCTCATTGAGCTCACTTTATAGGTGGGGAGATGGGAAAGCTTTCCTTGTCAGAAAGCATGCAGAACACATCTCTAGGCACTAAATCATGTCCAGAAAGTACTTGGCCCACTCCCGGCCACGGGTTTATGGCTTTGAGTAGTAACTCCCATCACACCCAGCATCTTTGTGCTGTTTCTTCATCCACGTGAGCGTGACCAGGCCCACACAGCAAGGCTGTGGTGAGGAGGTGGCGTACGTATAAGAACCTAGTCCAGCTCCGTGCATGGAGGACAGTTCCTGTCCCATTCATTTGCTCGCCTTTTCTCTTCCTTTTCTTGCAAGATTTGGGAGGGCAGGAACAGTGCTGCCATCTAAAGTGATCACGGAAGGCTTCGTGGAAGAGGAGAGCCCTGCCTGTGCCTCAGTTTTGGGCCCCGGAGGGAGGCAGGGGCCAAGCGTTATTAATAGGCCTGGCTTGATGGGCCCAAGGAGGGTGAATGTGATACCCATACCCAGCACTATGGCTGGGAAGTACCTGACACCAGAAGGGGAGGGGGCTGGGGGCTGGGGGTAGCGCCTCCTCCCAAAATAGCCAGAGCAGAAGCCTATATAGGTGGCCATCCCACTGCCAGGCTCACTTCCCTGCAGGACCTCCCACCGGCCAGGCCTTTTGGGTTCCAGCCCTCCACCCCCACCCAAGGTGAGTGGCAGCTACTGAGGCTGGAGATTGGATGCAGTCGGGAGGAGGCCAGATGGAAGGGACAGCCGCCTTGCCCCTACCCCTAGTGACACGGGGCTGGGAGTGGGTGCTGAAAGGTCAGCAGCTGTGGAATCCAGGCCTGAGAGTATGAATTCCTGGGCTCTCCACCCGAACTCCTGATGTGACCTAGGACAAATCCCTCCCCCTGGCTGGGACTTGGGTTCTCCACCTGTGAAACGAGAGGGGTGGAGCCAGGCATCTGTAGAGTCTGGTGATGCCATCAGAGGAGGCCCATGAGTGGGCAGCGGAGGCAGGAGGAAGGGTGTGGGGGGCTGGCAGGTCGACCCCAATAACAGCACCTGGTGCTCTGGCTGGGTAGACCCCAGCCCAGAGAGGTTGTCAAGTTGATGGAAGGCTTCTTTAGCAGGGAGAGATGGAGGAAGGAGGGAGGATGGGCCCAGCCTTTGCCACGAGGGTCAGTGTTTGGGCATGGTCTGTGGCTCGGACAGGTGGAACTTGACAGGGCTGGGTCCTGGGCAGTGGAAAGGGGCTCCACGGACGAGAGTCACTGAACTCCAAGTTAGCAGACCGGGGAGGGGGTCTCTCTCTGACACTGCCACTAAGGACACTGTGTGTCCTTAGGCCATTCACTGACCCTCTCTGGCCTCAGTTTCCCCATCAGTATAGCATAAAGATCCTTTAGCTAGGGAAACAGACTCTCCAATTAGGCCCCTGGGGGAAGCTGAGCCTGGGAGTTGAAATGATTGCACAGAAGCCCAGCATGTCCACGTGAACAGCTTGGCTCAGGGCCGAGACAGGAGGGCAGCTGAGGGGTCTGTGGAAGGCCATGCAGCAAGAGACAGTGGGTCAGGGGCTACAGCCTCTGCCCCTTGGAAGCCAGCTGGAGGGCTGCAGACTGAGGAGCTGACTCACAGGGAGGGGGCAGTCGGAGCAGCATCGTCCTAAGGTTTCCAGGAAGGGCAGCTGTCCAGGGCTGAGCGGAGGGAGACAGTGTTGACAGCGAGTGTGCCGGAACTCGAGCAGCTGGACAGTTCTCCCCAGCCGCCCACCAAGTGGCACCAGGATTCAGCCCTGGCCCACCTGCCTACACCCTCCGTTGGAGTCTCGAGATCCCCCTACAAAGGACCACCAAGACCATCAACGCAAGAGAGGGAGACAGACGACCAGGAAAGGGGAAGGTCAGAACCCAAGGTCACACAGGGACTTAGCACAGCCATAGATCTAGAACCCAGGCATCCTGACTCCCCGTCCAGTGCTCCACATATTGTGGAGGCAGCTGGTTGCTGCCTGAATCCTTGTTGGGAGACTGTGGGAAAGAATGCAACTGGTCTCTGGCTGCCTAAGATTAGGAAGTGTCACATTTCCCAGAGATGAAGTTCAAGCCATAAAAACTGCTGAGCTTGTTTAGAAAATGTGGTCCAATGGTACCAGCCTCTCCTCCAAACATGGGTCTTCTGGTCTCCAAGTGGGGAGAGGGTGTATACAGATTTCAAGTGGCCTCTCCCACCCTATCCTCTCCCAAAATGTTTGTGGGGGCAGGGGTCTGGACCCACGCTCTACTCCTATACTCAGGAGACCAGGGGAGCAAGTAGCTAGAGGAGATCTGAGAACAGTTCTTTGGAAAAAAAAAAAATGATTTCAGTGCATCCCTGGCCAGATGTGGGATGGGGCATCCGGAGAGGGCTTGAGCGGCAGCCCTATCCCATCCGTGCCACCTCCTCCCAGCGGCCTGAGGGTCAGGTTTCCAGACCTCAGCGCTGATTTTGCAGCATAAATTTGCATCCAGGACAGACCAGAGCTGAGGCGGAGGTAGGAGCGGAGAGAGAATGGGAGGAGGGCCGAGGGTCCCACCGGGGTGTAGGCCGGGCCCCTGACGGTCCCTCCGGAATCGGAGGGACAGGGGCGCGCGCACTCCGAGGTGCACCGACCCGAGACGCTGCGCTGCACCAGGCTGGCGCCTCCCGCGTGCCCTTGACGGCAGGCGAACCCTCCGGGCCCCGCTGGTTCCAGAGTCGACCCCCTGGGATCCCGGGGACCCCCGGCGGGGGCGGCGCGGTGCGGCGGGTCGGCGGCGGCGCGGGGCCTCCGAGCGCCTCTGGCTGCGCGCCCAGCCCCGCGCCCCCTGGCTCTGCGCCAGGCCGGCGGGCGTGCGCCCGGCGCGCATCACTGCAGCGCTGGTCATATGAGCAGAAATGATGAGAAAAGCACTTTTTAATCTTTTCGCACTTGCTCTGCCCGCTCAAACAGTTGCAGGATGTCGATGACAGACTTGCTCAACGCTGAGGACATCAAGAAGGCAGTGGGGGCCTTTACCGGTGAGCACGCTCTCCCCTCCCCGGCCCTCGCCCCATCCACCACCCTGGCCCCCGCACGCCCGCTGGCCCCCGGGCTGACCCGTCCTCCGCGGCGCTCCCCTGCCCACGCATCCTGCGGGGCGCGGGCGGGACGGAGCAGGGGGCTCCCCGCATTTCCCAAACTCCTCCCGGGCGGGACCTGGCGCAGGGGGCCGGTGGGGAGGCCCCGCGCTCCGCCCGACGACCGAAACTTGCCGGTGCCAGAGGCCGGGTGGCCGCGCTGCGAGGACTCGGGGTCCCGGACAAAGGGCAGAGACCGGGTCGTAAGCGGAACCTCTAGGTCCTTGTGTGGGGCTTGATGCTTCCCCTTTAAGGAACTTGGAGGGGCTGTAGGTGCACACGCCTTCTCTCCAAGCAGCCCCTGTGGGAGACCACCCCCCCCACCCCCCCACCCCCGTTCAGAACGGGACTCTGGGACTCTTCCCGGCTGGCTGGGGCGGTTGGCTCCCCTGCTGTCCAAGCCCCTCTCTGGGGCTCAGACGACACCCCACCACTACCCCCCGCGTAGGCGGCACTGCGAGCGAGTGAGTGGGGTGACCTTCCCGCAGCTGGTGCTCTGCTCTGCCCAATCCCGTGGAGAGCATCCTCGGGGCTTGCAACTTCCAGCCTAAGTCTGTGGCCCTGTGGCCGGGAGGGGAGCTCACGCTGGAACCTCTCTGAGCTGCCCCGGCTTTGAGCACTTGGCTGCCTACCTGCTCCCTCCCTCTCCTCACCCAGGTGCAGAAACTGAGGCTGGGAGACAACCAGAAACTTGCCCAAGGTCACCTAGCACAGCCAAAGGGGGCTTAGGACTAAGCTCACCTCCAGGGCTTGGTCCTATACCTTCTTATCAGGGGTGGACAGAGCAACTGTCCCCACCTCAGCCCAGGGCTGAGGAGAGAACATGACTCTCAACAGGACCCCCACCCCACCCCCCATGCACCCTTAAATTACTCTAACATTGTTTCTTCTCTGGGTGGTTCTGAAAGGGAGCTCGGGACAGAAAATTGGGGAGGGGGCTTCCCATTTCCCTTCTGCTTAGCATCCCCTCCTCAGGGTATGAAGCAGCTCTTGGAGGTGACCCTCCCCTCGGTGCTGGGTTAACCCACCCACACTACTCTATGACCCACCTTGCTCCCTCTTAGAAGAAACTTAACTGGGACTTCCTGGGGAGCTTACAACACTCCCCCAACTCCCACTGCAATTGTTATCTGTGGCAAAGCCAGGATTTCTGGGTCCTCCCCCTTCCTCCTCCCACTCTGTGACCTTGGGAGAAACTTGTCCTCCCTGGGTCCATGGATTTTCTGGCAACACAAAAGGTCAACCCCACATACACACACCATGTTCACACAGCCTCCCATTCCCCTACCCACCCCCACTCAGTGACACCCAAAAACCTTCATGGAACCCAGGAGGTTCCCCTGCCTTCAAAGGCTAATGGTGAAGGGTACAGATACATGTAGGGGCAAGTCTGCCTCTTCCACTTCTACCTGTGTGACCTTGGGCAAAGCACCATCCCTCCCTGGGCTGCTCTGGGCTCCGTCAGCCCTCCCACAGAGGCGCACCCCATGACCCCTCAGCGCTGGCCTAGGGAGGTCAATCAGCAAATGCAGTGACACCCCCCTTCTGCTCTTCTCTACTGCCCCTCCTTTGTCCTTATTTTCACCCACTCCTCTCCACCCCACCCCCACAGCTGTCGACTCCTTCGACCATAAAAAGTTCTTCCAAATGGTTGGCCTAAAGAAAAAGAGCCCGGATGATGTAAAGAAGGTGTTCCACATCCTGGATAAAGACAAGAGCGGCTTCATCGAGGAGGATGAGCTGGGGTAAACTGAGGCCTGCAGGGGCTGTCCATCCCGAGAGGGAGTTGGGGTTGGGACTCTGGCTTCCGAGTGCCCATCAGATCTGCCCTTCTCTCTGCACCGCTGGCAGAAAATAGCTGGGCCTCCCCACTGTTGCTTCCGGAAGAATGAAATCTGCCGCAGAAAGTGCAACTAACTAGATTAAATTATAGCCACTTAATATTGCTAATGGGATGATGCTACTTAATAATTTAATGCACAATGAAGAGGCAGGTTTTCTGGATGCCTAACGCCATGTGCAAGACAGGGAGCGCTTGCTGGAGTATTTATTTCATTGATTTCTCATTTGCCTAAAAGGTGCCATCCACCATCCTGCGGACCCCCCCACAAGTTGGCACCAGCGCAGCTAAAGCAGTGTCTGGACAAGTGGTGGGGGGGATGCAGAACCAAGTTTGGGGGTCAGGAGTCCTGGGAGCAAAGCAGAGGAGGGGAAGATAATGACTAGGAAAATGCACCTGGCTCCTGTCTGCCCACCCAGCTGTGCCTTATGTCACTCTCTAGCCAAGACAGTCTTAAATTTTGTCCTAAAGAGAAGGGGGAGGGTGTGGAGAGAGACCTTTCCATAGGGACTCCCCCAAATCTCACCCCAAATCATCTCGCAAGGGTACCCTTTGTCTAGAACTTTCTCCTTCTACCTACCCACCAACACACATACGCACAGGCTGACTTCTGACTTCTACTTGTCCTCCAGGTGCCACCTTCTCCAGGAAGCCTCCCCTCACCCCAGGTGGGATGGATGCATCCTTTGAGCACTATCATTGCATCCATCACCCTGTCTGGTCTCTGAGTACTCGACCTCCTCCTCATTTTTTCAGGTGGCTTCCTTCTCTGTGCCCCGGGGTTTCCAGCATGGTCCCAGCACAGAGAAGACACTTTTGCATTTGTTGGGTTGGCTGAATAAAGGAACGCAAGTGCCCTGCCTGAAGTGAGGTCGACCTTTCCCTGAGGACAGCTCGTCCTTCCTTGCACACTCACCCGTGCAAGCACAGCCACAGCCAGGGCTCCCGGGCCCAGCACAGCAGCGTGTGTGCCTGCTGCTGGCCACCTATCCCGGTTAGAGACCAGCCCACCATCAGACGCTGTTCCTGCACAAGGTGACCTCCACCTGACTGCCTCCCTGGATTTTCTCCCCAGATTCATCCTGAAGGGCTTCTCCCCAGATGCCAGAGACCTGTCTGTGAAAGAAACCAAGACGCTGATGGCCGCTGGAGACAAGGACGGGGATGGCAAGATTGGGGTCGATGGTGAGTAGCCGTGACCTGTGGCCAGAGCACATCATGGATCTGGGGATGTTTGGATGCTAAAAGCTCGGAGCCATCTCTGTCACAGGAAGGCGAGAGGAGGGGTCCCACACTCCCCAGGATTAGGTGTGAGAGCTCTGACACACACACACACACACACACACACACACACACACACACACACAAACCTGAACAACCCAAAAGGAATAGATTTTTTTTTAAATTCCCACTGTGTAGGGAATCAAGGAGAATTTGGGGCTTTCCCCTCAATTCTGCACTTTTCCCTGGGTTCCGGTCCTGGCTCTGCCCAAACTGGCTGTGTGACCTTGGGCCATCTCTGTCCTTCTCTGGGCCTCCGTCTTCCAACCGTAACCTGAGGAGATGAGGCCAGCTGATCCCCAAGCACCCTGTGGGCTCTCATGTTCTCAGATTCCAGGGATGGAAATTCCTTATCTTCTATCCTCTTCAGCATCTTGTCTTGGTATCCTGTAACTTTGGGTTTTAAAAACCTGTTTTGGCTTCACCCAAATATACCCTTCCAGCATTGTAAGTGAGCCAGGAAAAACAGCCAGCCAGCAATCAGCTGGGAATTAGGAAAAGGAATATCTGGCCATGCCCTGCTTTTCAGGCTTTGCTTTCAGAACAGATGAGGGGCTGGCGGTCCACCATCCCACATCCTTCTCCTTCTCCATTCTGATCTAACTAGCGTTCACAGAGCACACCCCAGCAGCCTTATCTTTCTTAGCACCCCAACAGCTTTGGGAATGATCTCCATTTTGCAGATGGACCAAACTGAGGCTGAGGTGCTTGGCCTGTTCACAGAGCTAGGACCTAAGTGGGCAAGTGGGGATTTAGAAGAACAATTTCCAGCAAGCTGTGCCACATCTCATAATGGTCCTTCCTGTCAACCTAAGAGAAAAGTTGGCCTCTGGGTTCCAATCCCTACCACTTTCTGGCCGTGTGACTTTGGGCAATTCGAGTAACTACTGTGGGCTTCAGTTTTCTCATCTCTGAACTGAGGATAATGATAGTCCTTTTCTCATGGGATTGTCGTGAGGATTAGATGTGTTAATGTGTAAAGGGTTTAGAATAGTGTCTGGCACAGAGTCAGTGCTACATATGTGTTTGTTAACTACATTTTTAAAAATAGGGACTAGGTTGTCTTCATCCTTTTATATCCAGTATGTAGCCCACACCTGCCCCAGAGCAGGCACTTGATAAACATCCTTTCCTGAGTGTAAAGTCCAGCCCCCCACGCTCTGCCTCCCCTCGGCCTGTCCCCCAGCTATGACCTTGGCCCTGCCACCTCTTTCCACCCAGTTCCTGTGCCTGGCAAGTGACGTGCACAATTTAATCCTAAGACCTGCTTGGGCTCGTTGTGAAAATTAAGTGGCTATTGACACAATATGGCTCTGGGAAAGTTAAAAGCGTTCTGAATATGGGTGTAGTTTATGAAAGTTTTATGTTAGAGACCATAATGGAGAGAAACTCGAGCAAGGTCAGATGCAGCGAGTCGCCTGGCCTTCCGGTCCCAGCTGTCTCTCCTGCAGCTGTGAAGGAGGGAGGTGATTTTAAAGGAGCCAGAGCAGAAAGTGCTGAAGGGAAATAGGAGGCTGGTCTTGGCGGTTCCGGTGAGTGGTGAGTGGCACCCTGAGCCAGGGCTTTCCGCCAGGACCCCAACCCAGACGTCCAGACCTGCTTCCCATTTTTATTTGCAGCTACTATGGCCACAGCTTGGAAGCCGTAGGCAGGGTCTTCATGGTTGGCTGCTCACGAGCGACCTACATGATAAAGAAAAACCAGGCCAGATCCCTCTTAGGCTGCTTCCCTGCTTCCCTCCCTGCCCATCTCCCATCCTTAAAGAGCTAACTCAACTCTTCCAACAAGTCCAGCAGACGTTTACTGGGTGACAGGCCTGTGCCAGGCTGTCAGGGAGGTAAAGATGAATTAGACCCTACTCCCAGAGGCACTTTTCCTGGCTGGGTGCCCCACAGCACCGGCTCAGCCACCCTGAGCCCGGTTGCTCGTCGATAAACTGGGCATGACAACACACGGCTCACTGGCATCTGTGAGGATTCCATGACACGATGTGTGTTGAGCGCAGCGCCCAGCACATTGCAAGTACTCAGCAAACAGCAGCTACGATACTATTTCTATTCTATCTGCAAGTTGCTTGCAGTTCTATGTATATGTACACAAAGGAAGGGCAATGCCAGGAAGGTGCAGAGGAGCCTTCTGGAACGGGAGAGACAGTGGTGCTTAGGCAGATTGGAGACTGGGGACTGGAAGCCGCTAGTTGGAGTCGGGGGGCACGAGGGGGATGGTTCTGGGAGAGCTCAGGGTGAGGCGTTGGTTTCAGCAAAGACACAGGCTGGGAGGTTTAGGGATGTTTAGAAAGGGGCAAGAAGGTTGTTTTGCAAGGGGCAGAAAGAGAAAGAGGATTGTTCCCAGAATGGTAATGTGTGCCCAGCCCAGAACCGAACCCTGCATCACCCATGACAAGTGCAGGTGCAGAAAGGGCAGTGCCGGCGCCCAAGGTACACTGGGTGCAAACCCTGGTTGGTCTGCCAGTGCAGTTCAAGCTCAGGCTGACCTGGGGAAGGTCTGGGGGTCTGCACAGAATGAAGCAGGGTGGGGCAGGAGGAGAAACAGGGGGCAGCGAGAACAGATCCCCTGAGGCAGCAAGGGGGCCCCCACATGGTGCACCTTTGAAATGGGAAGATGCAGATACCTTCCCCCCACCTCCACCCCAAACCTGGTACTTTTTCTGGAGGGTGCCCAATAGGCAGTGAGATAGGAGCAGAGGCCTTTGCAGGCCCCTGGGAGGTCCTGTTTCAGGCACTCTGCTTTCCTGCCTGTTTCCTCTAAAGGCAAAGGGTTCTGAGCCCTGCCTGCCCATCAGCCCGAGGATGCTTTCAACTCCTGGTGGGACCTGAGGCAAGTCACGGAAAACCCCCTCTGACCTTCAGGGACCTGATCTTTACAATCAGGAGTCAGATCATTAGCCAATCACTGGGGTCCCTGCCAGGACTGGGACTCCATGGATGCCCCAGTGAATAAACCTCTAGGCAGAGGACCAGCTGAGCCTGTGCCACCTTGAACAATATTAGCAGTGATATCTAACTTTTTAAAAAGATTTTATGTATTTTTTTCATGAGAGACACAGAGACACAGGCAGAGGGAGAAGCAGTCTCCCTGCGGGGAGCCCAATGCAGGACTCAATCCCAGGACCCTGGGATCACAACCTGAGCCAAAAGCAGATGCTCAACCCCTGAGCCATCCAGGCGTCTGTAACATCTAATGTCACCGAGCACTTACTGTGTGTCAGGCACTGTGCTTAACATTTTACCTTCTATCTTCCTCGCTGCCTCTGAGGTGGATACTATTACTATCCTCATTTTATTAACTATCCCAGGACACTTAAGCCTCAGAGAGGGTAAGGGGTTTGCCTAAGTTTCTTGTCTCAGAAGAGACGTGGTCAGGATCCGAGTTCATGTCTGCTGGACTCAAAGCACATGCCCTGTGCTGTGTGCTTTATTCATTCATTGAGTTCAGTGAGCATCCGCCCTAAGATGGTTTTACATACCGACCCATAACTGGCTTCTTTCTCCCCCGAAGGCCATGCCAGCTCCTCAAGAGCAGGAACTTTGTTTTGTTCCATTCTGACCCCACCACCTAGAATAGTGCCTGGCACACAAGGAAAGTTTGCCAAATGAATGAATGAGTGAATACTTGGCCAGCTCTGGGGACACAGTGATGAGGAAGTGTAGTGTGTAGGGAGAAGTCTGCAGGCAAAGGCTGGAGACCCATGTGGGCTGAGGGCTTGCACGTAGCAGGTGCTGGGGGATTGTAAAAGCAGGACCGCCTTCGTCTCCCACTGTTTGCCCTCTCAAGGTGAGTGATGCTTACCAGGTCCTTAAGGACCCCAGATTGAAGGAAGGGGATAGAAAGACAAAGTTCTAATAATAACCCTTTGCATTCCCGTCTCTGGGGTAGCTACTTCCAGGAAGCTCAAAGACTTTTATAGATATGGTCGATCGATTCTCCAAAGCCACCCTTGAGACGCTGGTGCAGAGCTGGTAAAGGAAGATTTTAAGGCCGGAAAGGAGAGAGAAACTGGACAGAGGTGGAAGGAACCCCCAAACCCAGCCATGGTTGCAAAACCAGGCACCAAGGGCAGGTGAGACTGCTAAATTACAGGCTCCTCTCAACTCTCTGCCCCTCACACTGGTGCGTCTCAAACTAGAGCCAACATCAGAGTCACTGGAGGGCTTTTCACAACACAGATGGCCATGCCCGAACCCCAGAGCTTCTGATTCCTTAGGACCGGAGTGGGGCCCCAGTGTTCACATTTCCACCAAGTTCCTGGGTGGTGCTGATGCTACGGGGACCACACTCTGAGAACCACCACCTTACAGTGATCCTAGAAGGCAGGTGCCATCACTCTTCCCCTTCTACAGATGAGGACGCCGAGGCACTGAGGGGTTAAGCGCCCAGGGTCACTCAGTAGCAGACTCGGAGGGCCAGCCAGGAACCCCACCCCCACCCCTTACCCTACCCACCGCCCCCACCACCCTGCCTCTCACACAGATGTGTCCCCTGCCTGGGCTCTAGCTACCCCAGAGCAATGCTGCCCTTGTGGGATAAGCAGGCTGACAGGACTAGCGGTTACCACCCATGTGGCCCGTCCTGTGTGCCGGGCACTGCGCCCCGGCTGTAGCTCTTCTAGCTCGTGCAGCCCTCACGGCAGCTCCACGAGATATACCCTCACTGTACAGACATGCAACCCGAGACTCTGGGAAGTGGGGCGACTTGCCCGGGATCCCACAGCTAATCAGCATCTGGGCCGCTCCAAACCTTGACACTGACTCGATATCCCACTGTTCCCCACAGTGCTGTGGACAAGATCTGCACACCCTGCATTCTCTCTCTCTCTCTCTCTCTCTCCCTCTCCCTCTCTCTCTCTCTCCCTCTCTCTCTCTCTCTCTCTCTCACACACACAC